CGGCGTCCAGGTTGAAGCCAAAAGGGGGAATTTTATGTAGATGCATTGATAGTTGTATGGCTGCAAATAACATTTATCGAGTTGCAAGGTATGTGCTTGACTCTCGGGCCATCAGTAGATGCGCGCTAGAAACTGTAAGATGTGACGATAAGACGATGACTAATCGATCACCTTAACCACTTGCTCGATTGGATGCAGATGGATGGACCAGGGTATTTCATGGCCTTGCCAGCTACTCAAAGCGATCTATCTATGTTGGCAATTCTTGAAGAGAAGTACAGTAAGTATTTGATAATTGGCTGTCTGAGAGTCCATTTCCTTGGTATTCTCCCCATATGCAATAATGGGAAGCCGTCTGTGACATTTCGGCATATGTACTAGTGAGATGTCAATTTCAATGGCAATTCTGTATAATATTCTTGTTATTTGACTTTTTTTTTTTTTTTCATAATTTTTTTTTTTATCATGGATAGTGTAGGTGGCAAGGGGTGGTGTTTTTGCCACCCTCAGATCAAATTATAGTTTAACACAGAAGATGAGAGTATTTATATTTTTCGCTTGTGCATTTTTAAGGAACAAGGATCAACTTGCAAATCAATATAGATTTATCTAAGGCTCGAGATAAAGTTGGGCCTAGGGGCCCCCAAAATCTCAGCCCTGTACTCTCAGACCATGCTCTGAGCTCCCAGACTCTGCAATGGAACTTGCATAAAAGAGTGGAGGATCAATGCCAAGCAGCCTAGAGAGTCAACAGTCGATTTACAAAAGATGGAACAAACCCTAAGAGCTTGCTAAAACAAATGAATTTGAAGTTCAAGGGAATGCAGTTTGTGGGAAACCAAAGAAAAAGAAAGCCCTTGCTGAGTGAGATGCCACTATAGAAGCATTAGCCTAGTTAATACACACATCTGACAACAATCACGAAGAAGATGATAATTCCTCGCTCAGACAACATGCCGGTACTTCTGGGGAACTGCAGCAGGATGTCAAAACTGCTTTGGGTTGAAAAAAATGCGGTTAAAATGATTGCCATGTTCGTGACTGCGAGGAATAATTCACTTTGTAACACTATGACGGATCATACAAAATATATTTAAGAACATCCAGTAACATAATCAACTTAAAGCATCACTATATAGCGCAAAACCTGCAACTTTATTCGAACTTCATTTTTATTGTACACATCCCAAAAATAGAGGCAATTAACGATCTTCAAGCTATGCGCTAAAAACCAATGTGTCACAGGCAATGCCAGTTTAACTGAACCTGCCGCAACGGCACAACATAATAGCCTAGCCTCACAGTGCCTCCCTTCAACTCCCTGGTACTTCAAGCTTTGTGTAAGTTGACTACTCTCTCTATGTTTCTCCTTCAAGTGCTTATGTCCTTCCCACAGCACCTTCAAAGTGAGAATAAATATTATACTGCTTAGAGTTACAGACAAAATAGGACAATACATGCATAATTTCTGAGAAATATTTTTCTCTGTCAATATTGTAGGTTTTCACTCTTATACAGCAACATAGGCAAAATCTGTTACAAAGTAAAGAGTTTATGGCAGAAAGGACTGGTCCAGTTGAAGAAGCTAGAACCTGTACAGCAATAAAGCATGTAAGAAGTCTAATGCGTATGGCATCTTAAGATAATCTCAGAAGTTTCACTGCTCATATGCTGTGATAAAAAAATTAGATTCACTTGCAAGCTAAGTTAGGAGGATCAACTCAGGTACTGATCATTAACCTATTCATATATAAAATTTTATATTCTGAATTCCAAAAATTGGTCTTAGAAAATGGTAATCACACATTTATCGAATCAAATCTCAATATACACAGTGGCAAATTCAATCATTTAGGCTAGAATCCACGCAATCAGTTAAGGAAGAAAAGTACCTTTTGTTTAACTTCTTGGAACCAGAGGGACAGAGTGCATTTCTACTCATTTTTCCACTCTTGATTATGCAACATCCATGGGGGTTGATCCCATCAACTTCTGAACCTGCAGCCAATGATCCCTTCCCAAGTCAATAATTCATCGGAAATCCAGAATGCAATAACATCAAACTACAATGCACAAGCCATATAACACGATCATTTTATTTTCTTTATCCTCCTAACCATGCATTATAGTAAGGAAAAAGTAGAATATGCAGATAAAAACACATCAGCTAACCAGCAAAATATTCACACAACACAATAAGCACATAGTTCATCACTTCTAGAAAATCACTATTAACAGCATGTGAAATATGAGAGATGTGGGCAATATAATAAATGCCTCAGCCAAGCTCTTTGGCATTTCTTTGCCTTCGTCCTTCTAACTTTTCAATTTTTCTCTGAGCTTCTTTTGCCCAGGTAAACTTTGTTAAAGTATTTTCAACGACTACAATTGTGCAATTACATTGTTTTGATGCCTCTTGCTTTTCACTAGTTTGAATATTCTACAATGAAAAATCAAAAGAAAAGAAGTGACCTACCAAAATATATAATCGAGAATAAAAAAATTACAACATTTTCTCAATAGCATTCATATTATGAATTTCAATCCACTCCCATCACTTAGTGCACGTGGATTTAACAACAAAAAAGAATAAATGTAAACAGGAAGCCAAGAAATTACAGTCAAAGATAGTCTGCTCAAGTTGTCACATTAAAAACCAGCTATAACACAGGAGTAATAACTAATAAGTTAAAGCTACTTCATCAACCTTTTGAAAGTAACCTTTTCCTGTGCTTGTAGCAGCAAAAGAAGAGTTGGGGTTGAAAGAGAGAAGAACTTAAATAAGGGGAAGTAAAAGGAGAGTGGGAAAAAAACATATAAACTATAAGAGACAATCGGATGGGAAGAGACGCAAGAAGAGGAAAAACTATGTAATGGGCCAAAAGAGGATGTGACGGGATATCCCTTGTGGGCTTATACCCCGTTTGGGAGAGATTTTGAGAATTGATTTTTTTGACCGTTAGAAAAAAAGTGGGGTTCACCTTTGAGAGAAGAAATCAAAAATTACGGATGAAATAGTGAAATAACGATAAAAAAATCATTTTTTTGGAATAAAAAATCCCTCCCAAATAGGTTGTTAGTCAAAAGTAAAATCTTGTCGATAGATTATAGGCTTTGAGTGAAGCTATCACTTAAGAATATAAAAATAAAGAAATAATCTATACATTTAAAGTTTATATTATTTTAATCAACGACGGTCTCTGTCCAATATTGGAAAAATTATGTATCGTTTTGTCACGTGACTATCATGCTTTATAGGTACCAACACACCACCACGGAGCATGCATCCACAATGCAGCAATACATCACCATGACTAAGGAGAGACCTAAGTCACTTTCCACGAAATTAAAGTTAGGACGGTGCTGCAGGTACAGACCCTACCAGACAACACACATGCGCGGGCCCTGACGTAAATTTTTTTTCCTTCATGTGGGGCCGCCCCTATAGTGAGGGGTCGAAAGACCCCTATAGGAAAATTAGGAAAATGCCCTGTATTTTCCTTAAAGTTATGGTGATAAAGGACAACCTTCACCAATCTTTCCCTCTTCTTATTCCCTAATCACCACTAAATCCCAAAACCTTTCTAAGACCAGCCCACCATGAACCCATTCATTACCATATTTGAAACTTAATCCCATCAGGTCCCAACCTTCAACATGAACTCAGCCAAACACTAAGTTCCCACGAGATGAAATTAGTCCTCATTAATATCTACAACACTTTGGGTTGCCATGTTAACACTTAAAAACTCCCAGTCTTTTGGCACAGCCCCTTGGAAATTGACTTGACCTTCTTCCTGCAACCGTCTAGCCACAAATAGGACACAGCAACTTGAGTTCAGCCACAAACACATGCGGTATGTATCAACCACATTGCCTTAGGCAACATCCACATGTAATGCAATCAGATATCACCATGCCTAAGGCAGTTTTACTTGGCTCACTTACTGCAGCATGTGGTACTATCACTTGTCTTATAGGCGACAACTTCAATTCTGAAGTGTATAGATTATCTTTTATGTATTTCCTGTATTGTATACATTGAGTAATGACTTTTCATATTTTATGTCATTGTATAAACATCCTGCAAATCGGCTGCTAAACACCAGTATCCAAGGCACCACAATCAGTGGCATGGAAGTATTGTCTTGGAGATGGAGAGAGGATAAGACTGTTATATAATATGAATTGGTATTGTGGAAATTCTGATACCCCAATTGCATACCAGGAAATCCATGCCCAAAATTATGGCTGATGTCAGCAATGCAGTTCAGAATGGACTAAGCAATATGGAGTTCATTTTAGAGCAACTGAATTGAGCAAACATCGGGGGATTAAATAAACATTTCCTAGAGAACATCTTCAATTATATGGGGACAGTTTCATTTAAATTTACTGCAAGAGCTATCGAAAAAACTTACATAAACATATACTTTGACATATAATACACATGCATACATGGTAAATAACAAAAATGAAAGAATCACAGGAACCAATCGAATCCCCACTATATATTGCTTCAAAGTCCCCATCTTCCTTGCTTTGCTCAACTCCTCTGCGAAGCCTACTAATAATTAAAAACCAGACCATGGACACAACCCACAAAAGAAAGGAAGAAAAAACCTCACATGAGCACACAAATATATCAATTTGAATACCACATACACATATATATAAACACCAAAATTACGACATATAAAGATATATACCCCATAGATACATACATTACTCAACGATTCCCTGCAAGGTTTATGGTATTCGTCTCTTTATCCATCTGGGTTCAATTAGGGGCTAAGGCTTTGGGCACCCAAGGAGGCGAAAATGAATCAGTTTACAATTTGAAATATAGCTCATTTACTCAAACTTTGCAAATTATAAGTAATTTTTCATTTTTGTATCAAACCATTTGATTTCCTGCACAATTTTGTAAATATTTCTTTTAAAACAATTAAGCCACTTGTAAGAAATGATTTTACACATTTGTATTAAAAAATTATAAAAAAAAAAAACAGCTTTACATACAAACATGTGATCGGTCTTTTAAGTTATGAGAGTTATCACTCTCGTTAATAACATCTACATGGAAGGTGAATTTAGGGTAACTGCAAATACAGAAGCACGTCGTGTTTGGTACTCGTCTCGTTTGTTCACATTGAGCAGGGCTCCACCCTCTCAAAAACACGGGGCAAGTCCCACTGGCTTTCACATTTGGATGGCATACTACTCAAGCTAATTACAGAATGAGGTAGCTCCCAGTCGAGTGTCCAAGGAAGTTGGTTGCACGCTACAAATTCCAGCAAAAAGTCCACAAATGATTCTCTGTTCCATGTTTTAAGCCTTAAATCGCCTGAACTCGAACCAGATCTCATAATGGTTGAAAAGCAAACTGTCATGTCTGTGCTTTCCAAGATACTCGAGCCCTAAATGATTTAGCCTTTTTGTGCATTCTTCTCCTCCCAACCTCGAACAAAACTTTATATTATGAGAAACAAAAATCCGACCTTCAAAAGGTTTCAGTCTGCCCGCTAACTTCTCTAGTCCAATCCAAACAAGATTGTCGGGCATATGAAGAAACACAGCACTTGCATATATCAAACTGTACGTGGGTCCATCTCCAAATTTACTGAAATTCATATCTTCACCTTTTACTATCAGAGGGCGCTTGTACAACAAGCCTTGGGAAGGCAGCTCATACCTAAGTGCAGCCATCAGAGACAGCTCATCTCTCTCTAAACAATGGAAACGCTCAGGGTTCAAGTACTGAATGAAATGCAAGCCAACACGCAGTGTGCCACATCCAATCTCAAGAACTTTTGAGTTTGGCGTTAAATGTACAGACTCAGCAAGAAACTCAAACACATCTCGTCCTCCTGCCCAGGGCTCCCCATAATTGCTATGGTGTTCTTCTACAAGAAGTTCGCCTGGACAAGGCAGAGCAGTGTGGTTGTTTGCTTCTTCTCCTTCATAGTGTGATATGCCTTTAAACCTGAAAATACAGAAACTTGTTCATATCTCCTCTCGTACAGGAGCACTAACAATAACATTGGGAAAAATAGGAGAAAGATTATATTTAAAAAAATGAATAATAGTTTCCTTTAGACATTTCCTTTTCCGCGATTCCGCATTTGTGCTAATTGGAAACCAATTAAAGTTGCGGTAATTTTCTGTAAAAAGGGTTGTGTCTCAAAGGAATACAGTAGAAATTGAAACCACATGGCAGATCATACAGTCCTTGGACCCCATTTGATAGAATTATACCAACCACTTAAAAACATAGATATCAATATTGTTTAGGAGTGAAATAGGATCAGATGATGTCAATTAAAATTTGTTTCATTCATTTTAAAGAATTTCAGGTAATTTACTCAGATGTACAATCATACTTAAACACATGAGAGCACATAAAACTAGTCAAGAAATAAATGAGCACCTCACCGACCAAAACACTCTCTCTTCAATGTTTCAGTTATCTATGGTATGATAACAGGAATAACTTTGTGAACTCCAAAATTACACCAGTACAGTAAACTATTGACAATAGATTTCCATTTCTAATTCATTTATTTTAATTAATACCTAAGCATATGGTCACCAGTAGAACTTCCACCAAAACACCAACCTACACCATATTTTTTTCCCCTGAAGTGAAGATGACTACAGACTGATTGATACTCCTGGAATATCATAAGTTTGCTGAGATGCCATGAACGTGATCCAAATATCCAATTGTATAAACTTGTGCCCTTGTTATCTTCCTTCTTGTGTGCATTAAAAACTTCTAATAAATAGGACGTTGTTCATGGCATATCATCAAAACAGGATGCTTATTTCCATAACGCCTGATGATTTTACATTAACACAATCACATTGTAGGGTTTGCCAGATGGACCACCCAAGTGCTGAAGAGTATCTTTTATACACAAAATGAGCAGAGATAAAGACCAGAAATTCATTCATTAATTTGGCATCTCAAATGCAAGATCTTATTTTAATGCAACTGATTTTATTGACATTTAATTAAGGTAATTTCCGGAGGTCCATCAAATAGCTAAAACCTCTCACAAACAAGATGAAATGGAGCCAGAATGATAAACAGTACTAGAAAATTTTCTTCCAAATTTTTCCTAAATTGGCTTCTTCTGTTCAATTTTCTTTATTTATTCTTCTTCCTATGGACCGAGCACGCCAATTCTGCAACTCGTCTTCCATTGTTCTTCTCTTTAGTTAATTCCAAAATACTGATAGTCTAGAACTATGTTAATTGTCATCGTCATAGTATGTGCTTGTGTTTGTGTTTATGCGTGAGGGTCAGGGAATTGTCTTACTGAATGAGATCTTGGAGCTGCTGTCGTCGAGTGCGAGGATTAATGCCTTTACGCAGCACATTCTGTTGCATATGCAATCCATTGGCTTCGATCTGACTCTTCACCCATTCTACATCCTCTGCTGAAGCCGAGATCCGATCTCCAAATCTTACATTACCACTGTCGGCGGCGGAGCTACCGGTGCTGGTGGAGTCTGTGGTGGGAATAGGGCAAGTGCACGGCGGAGGGGATGACGATAGGGCGGATAGGAGGAAAAAGAGAAAAATCGTGGCGGCGGCAACAGATAGTACGAGGACTGGGACTGAAATCACCACTCCCTTCGATGGAAGCATTGCCATTTCAGATTTGATTTTTGGGGATTTCTCTTTTATTTTCTGAAGTTGGAAATGGGGACAACTTTGGAAATAACTAGTAGATTCTTCCTATTTTTCACAATAGCCCTTCTTATTAAAAGTACTATATTGCCCTTAATGAAATTATTTACAAGATCTATCTTATATCTTTAAGGAATTGTCAATCAGGTCCTATATCTATATTTTTCAATCTTTTGAACACCTTTAAGTATTCTTTATATTTTAATAGTTCTTCAAAAATTATAGGTTGTCATTTCTTGGTTATATATCCTTGAAATAATCCTTCTGAGATTTCTTCTTGTATATTAGTATGTTTAGTTATAATATCTTCTACTTTTCTTATTTCTCTATAAATTCTCACAGAATCAAATCCTATATTATTCTTACAACTATAATCTATATCTTAATCAATCTTCTGAATCAAATAAAGTTTTTAGAATGTTTTTGAAATCATTTGGGTCCACAACTGCTTCCGCAAAAGACTTTTCAATTAAGGTTGCATTTCTCATTCTAGAGAACTAGCCGTGTTTCCACAGACGCTATCTCACAGTATCCAGAGTCTCTGTTTTCACCTCTATCCAAATTCTTTTCAGAGTCAAGTTCCTACTTGGAACGAAATTTTAAAAGATAACTCACACACAAGGTGCTACAATTTTTTGTTAGAAAACTGCCTTTTTTCCCCTAAACCATTCATCAAAGACGGGTACTTTAGCATGGCTAACATCCATTCAAAATCAATGTTTTGAAAATCTTTTAAAATCTCTTTCTGTACTGCCGAGGAATCATGAGAAACTTAACGAAATCCATTTATGAAAGCTTTGTTGAACATAACAAACTTTACTTTGATATTCATAAACTGAAATTGTACATGCTTACAAACTATATTTACATACCTTTGGTACTCACCTTATGAAGTTTAAAACTCCATAAGTGATTACCTTACCATTCATCAAAGACGGGTACTTTAGCATGGCTAACATCCATTCAAAATCAATGTTTTGAAAATCTTTTAAAATCTCTTTCTGTACTGCCGAGGAATCATGAGAAACTTAACGAAATCCATTTATGAAAGCTTTGTTGAACATAACAAACTTTACTTTGATATTCATAAACTGAAATTGTACATGCTTACAAACTATATTTACATACCTTTGGTACTCACCTTATGAAGTTTAAAACTCCATAAGTGATTACCTTATTACACGCTTCCCTATCTTCAAGCTATCTAGTATTTTTCTGAATACAAGTAGTGTAATCAGATTACAAAAGATTTCTCTCAAATGTGTTTAAGAGAAGTTTTTTCAAGGTATTTCGAGATCTCTTCCTCCTCCCTTCATGCCTCCTTTTATAGAAGATTTTGGAATCTTATCTTGGACAAGTGTTTTCCACCTTTCTTTGTTGGGTAGCTGAGCCATCTTATCTCCACCGAATTCTTTATTGTCTTTTTGATAGGTGGACCTCTTATCTTGAAATTGGATGCCTTATCTTTTATCTTTGTCTGCCACTTGTGACAATTGGTAGGAAGTAGTCACAATCATAGAGACTTTTCTTGATTTATCTTCTGTCTTCTAGTAGCCACAGTTTTTCTTTAATAAATTTCTTTATTAAAGTAGTGATAAAGGGCTACTTTAGTCACCATCACTTCTCCATTTTCGAATCAAAGAATTCTGCAGGGAATTCTTCATCATTAAGGGATGCTTGACTCATATCTTCAACAACACAGTATTCACAATGGTGATCACTGTAATTCCAAAGTAATTTGCATAGTTCTTTAGCCATATCTTCTGATCCGTGTACTTGGTTGGATATAATTGCAGATAATAAATGGTCGAAATAACAAATATCTTCCTCTTTGGTATCCATCCTTGCATTGGAATAGATAATATGATCTTCAGATGGATAAACCCATATTTTTTCTTTCTCAGTAATTATTTGAGTTACATGTTCAAATATCTCTTTATACCCTTTGGCTCTTCTATAGGGCATCATATTAAGAATATCTTGATATCCATTTTTAACAACCTTTTGATTGGCTGGTAAAAAAATGTTGATTTGTTAATCCCATTTTGATCACATGGAACGATGGATGCATATATTCAAGGACAGGATCCCATTCCATTGTTGTTGAATGGAATCTGATATATATATTTGTTGTTTTAACAACTTCAGTATATCTTTTGACAGCTTTCCTGATGTTGGCTGGAAGCTGAGCTATCTCCTTGAGATCTTTACTAGGATATATACAAAGTATATTTCCTATTTCAAAACAATTTCGAACCCAGTTGGCTGGTGCTC